ATAGGAAATTATACTATACGAGTGAATACAGAAAAAAAACCACTCCACTACGGCAAAAAATAAAGAGGAAAGCAGCTCAAACCTAAAAATGAGTACTCTTCACACTAAAGACAATGAATAGTGCAGCACTTTCAATAAATAAATGATTTATATTTTTAGCCATATTCATTCATGTGTATTATTTATACTGTGGTTTATTTATTGAAAGCACTGCGCTATTATATGAAATTGTCTCTTATACTAAATAAGTAACATCTATAATTTATTTTTTACATTTTTTTTCTTTTTGCTCCATTTATATAATATATTTTTTAATTATATATATTCTATGTATTTATAATGATTTTATAAATCATTTAAATTATATATTTTTTCATTTAATTTTTTTGTCCATTGGGGCAGGGTGGATATGGTCAGTGGAGGCCAGATGCAGACTCCCATGCAGTTGTGAAGCAGCAGATTACTTCTAATGGTGATCTAATTCTGTAAACAGCCGGCAATAGATCACTGTAGCCATGATCTATTGCTGTAGGGGGGCTGGAAAAAGCCGAATCAGCCTCTGGTGTCTAATATGTCTTGGCAACTCAGTTGCCTCTCCTAATGCATAAATCTGCTCCTGTCCACCTAGGAGTTTTGGGTGTCCGGTCCACCTTGGTGTGTTCCAGCCAGGGGTGGACTGACCATTTGGAAACTCGGGCACTGCCTGAGGGCCCGGGGTCAGTAGGGGTCCCATGAGATGCCCCTGGTACCTTTTTCATAGGCGTTTTTGAGTTTGGGCAAGGACACATGGGCCCCATGATCCCTTATTGCCCGGGGACCCCATGAGTTGTCAGTCCACCCCTGGTTCCAGCATTTCCTGTTCCATTCTTCATTGTATAAAATGTATAAATCCAGTTCTATTTCTGTATGAAAGAGTGAACCCCTCATTATGGGCCCAAGATGAAGTCTGCTGCAAGAGAGTCTTTTGAGACCTGTGGGACTTGCTGGTGGGTAATATAGCTCACCTTGTCCACACAAAGTCAATATCAAAAATATGGAGATGACTTTTTAATGCACAAGTGCAACGTGTGACGTGCAGTGGCCCATAATGGCCTGTTGTTTACAACAGTTAGAATGAGGAAAGACGCCAGCTTGCTATGAGTGACGCCACTCTTTAAGTTGCTGTTTGACATATTGAGTGTAGAATGTGTTGATGTGAAATAAATCGGACAGACACACAGAACTCAGTGTCACTTCCATTAAACTTGCTTTTATTATCTGGACACAGTGAATTTCTCAGTCAGACATTACGGATTGTGTGTTATGGGAGAGGCAGCTCTGGAAGAAATGGCACACACACACACACGACACGCACATGCGTGCTCTGCACACAGCCCCCGGGAGGGTGTCACCGACCACTCTGCACTCTCTCCGTTGCGCGGAGAGGTGAGACACAGGAATCAGTCAGAATGCAAAATGGCGTAAAAATAATCGATACGTTTAAAAAGAAGGGAAGGCGGGATAGCGGTCACCTGGGGAGCAGAGAGAGGAGGGTCACCATTTATAGTAGGAGTCGTCGTACCTGGGAAGAGATGAAAATGGCAGGATTGATCATGCAGAACGGTTTTATTGTACTTGTGTTACATTGTGTTAAGTTGGCCATACACTAGTAGAATTTTGTTTAAATCTTAAAAACATTTATTTGATTTTTTAATTGTTGGTGGGGTCAAATCAATGTTCAATTCTGACCACAGTAGCAAGAAATTTTGAAAAAGCAGGATGGCATTTTTTTTTCTCAAATTTCTACAGTGTATGTATGTAACTTTCATTCTGTAAAGCACATTCGATCCAAAATCTAAAAGTTAAAATTTCAAGTACTTGGAGATTGTGACATCACCTCAAGTCTCTCCACCTCTTCCAATCAAAATTGGCATACCTAAACTTCAGCTTGAGAAAATGCAAAAGTGTTCCTTGAATGGTGCCCATGCCAAGTCAGCAACCTCATGTGTTTACAGTGCACCATGGCAGTTGCTCCTCACAGGACCTAGGAGGCTAGTGGAGATCACGAACGCAGTTGTGCCTGCTTTGAAGATTTCCAGCCTCCACAGGGATCCCACAGGTATGGCACATATGTTACATTGGTCCAAACCGGACCAGAGTAATTATATTAAACTTGCCCTATCTACACTTCAGCTTTAAAATAGGATTTATAAATTAAAGAAACATTTTTATAATGTGTAACCTAGAGAGGATGAATAAGAGAAGCAATTTGGCAACCTTATGTTTATACTCGTACATAGGCATACTCTTCCTTTGTTGAATTTCCAAGCCTGCTAATTAAAGACAATCAAAACCTCCTAATTAGAGATTTCATATACACTTCATTGGTAGTCACACTTACTCAAGAATGGTCAAATGAAAGCAAAGCTCTACAAGTAAAAAGGTTAAAGTGATCCTGTGTTTTGGGAAAGCAAAAGGTTCACTTGAATCGGGGCTTCCCTTGTTTCCTTTTCCATGCTAGGTGCTGCCAGATATAGGGGAATATGGGACTTGCTCCCTTTCCACTAACATGGCAGCATTGATCTACCCAAATCCACAGCTCAGCTCAAGAGTCACCCCTCCTGTACATGGACAATTTGGGTGCCGGCCATGAACTTCAAAAGGTTCACTTGAATTGGGGCTTCCCTTGTTTCCTTTTCCATGCTAGGTGCTGCCAGATATAGGGGAACATGGGACTTGTTCCATTTCCACTAACATGGCAGCATTGATCTACCCAAATCCACAGCTCAGCTCAAGAGTCACCCGTCTGTACATGGACAATTTGGGTGCCGGCCATGCACTTCAAAAGGTTTACTTGAATCGGGGCTTCCCTTGTTTCCTTTTCCATGCTAGGTGCTACCAGATATAGGGGAACATGGGACTTGCTCCCTTTCCACTAACATGGCAGCATTGATCTACCCAAATCCACAGCTCAGCTCAAGGGTCACCCCTCCTGTACATGGACAATTTGGGTGCAGGCCATTCACTTCAAAAGGTTCACTTGAATCGGGGCTTCCCTTGTTTCCTTTTCCATGCTAGGTGCTACCAGATATAGGGGAACATGGGACTTGCTCCCTTTCCACTAACATAGCAGCATTGATCTACCAAAATAAACAGCTCCGCTCAAGACTCACCCCTCCTGTACATGGACAATTGGGGTGCCGGCATTGTAGTCCATCTCCACTCCCCATCAGTATATGTATAATTGTATCAGCTGCACTCCACTCATAGCTCCTCTCTTGCCTTATTTATTGGTCGTTAACAAAATAACTGCACACAACGTCTTCATCTGGGAACCAACCTTCCTTGATACGTTTCGCCAGTTCTGACCTCACAAGGATAGGGGAAGACTGCCATCTTGTGAACAAGCCAGGAGTGATGAACCACATCAAGGAAGGTCAGTTCCACAGTGGAGACGCTGTTGTATGCAATCATTTTGTTGACGACGAATAAAACTGGTGAGAGGAGCTAAGAGTGGAGTGCAGCTTATTCTTGTTTTTCATATTTCTGATGGCAGCTTTGGTGTTTTACTGCTTGGGCACCCAGGCTGGGCTGCCATTAGAAATCCTGGGGCTCCCTAAGCCGTCCTGGCAGGGCCCCCCAATTCCTCCTGCCACCTCCTTGTTTCTTACTTGCTGCACATGGCATCCCTGATGGCTGATCCACCTTGCACAGAGAAGGGGCTTTAAATACCTTATGGCACATGCACAGTGATCCATTAGCCACAGATCTCAGCAATGAAATAAAAATTCCCAGGGCCTGGCCTCAGCAGTTCCCCAGAGCCTATCCCCAGCAGGGGCCAGGGATAGAGAGGGGACTATTTACTAATTTTTGGCATCCGGCAGGGTAATTCTGCATGATGAAGCTCTCAACAATTAAACGAAAGTTCTGGCCTGCTCCAGCAGATGGATATAGAAGAAGCTAAAAATGTAATTTATTGTAGGGAGCTGCAGCACAGAAGATTAATGGCACCACCTCTGTCCCCAGCCCCTGCTGCTGAACGGGCCTGGAAACCTAAATTGCTGGGAGCCATGGTCTGTGGGATTACTGTGCATGTGCCCAAAGATATTTAGAGTCCTCTCTTTGCCCCTGGGCCTCCTATTGAACTGATGGCGACTGGGTTCAGTAGAGGAGGGCCAGCTCTACCCCCTATTGACGGCCCTGCAACCAGCACCGTTGCATGGGGAAAAACCTGGAACTTAGTCTGTGCTTCCACAGACAGCAATGAAAATATTTTTTTTTTCTATTGGAAGGCGAAAACCTAATGCACATGAGAAGAGCCTGTACATCTGTGAAAGACTAATGGGGAAGACTGGAGGACAGCTTTAACTTACATATGACAGGGGTTCTAAGCCTATAAGTGTTTTTCTTTAAAGGATACGTTCACCTTTTGACAAAAATAATAAATGCACAATTTTTGCAGGTAAAAAAAAAAATGTGCGTTATTTTTGGTTGCAGGAACCTGTTAAGCATTTCACCAGTGATCAATAGATTGTTGGTGCCATGCAGGTCTTCTGCAGGTCTGTCAGTACATCTGCTTGCCCGTATGGGATGTACGAGCAAGCAGATACACTGGCAGGAAGAATCAATGGACTACCACGGTGCTCCACAGTGCTGTGGTAGCTCACTGAGAACTACAAGGTGGATTCAAATTGATTGGATAGTTTAGGTAGGTCCTTAGAGATCTAAATACATACCTAAGTTCTCAATGTGTCACTATTTCTCCATTATATTCTTTCGAAAGTCTTACATGCAACAGTCCTTATTGATAATGCCTATTATGTAATAAGAATCCAACTATAAACACAATTTGCTATGATTAAGCCTCATATTGGGTGAAATGCGTAAGAGAGGGGGAGAGTTCTAACCAAGACCGTGTGTGGATGGGATCCATTTTGTTGTGGTTGTGATTGGTTGTTGATGACAGCTTGCTAGGTTGCACCTCACCTTCGCTCTCTGAGCTGCCTATGTTGTGCATCCACCTACCGTGATCTGCTGTTGTAGTTTCCGTTGTCACCATACAGAAGATCAGAAAGCAGGTTGTCAGCGGGACTGTCCCTCTTTCCATACCTAAAATATAAGGACACCATTAGTAGGAGTTGCCTATAACTATGATACCTCTAAATTCTAACCAGTCTTTGTTCTTCACTGCTTAGCTGAGCATTAATTTGCCTTGCTGTGCGTAGAAGCACCTACATTTGTCTTTATACTAGCTTCCTGTAATCTCCTGAACACCAGTACTGGGAGAGCTGAAAGTGTCAGCCATTTGGGCTTTTTTGTATTGCATAGTGCTGTCAATCTATCACTGTAAATATGCTTACAGGAGGTAAGCACACGGACGACTTTGGTCGGTGCACAGGTTCCTTAACTCCCTAGCCACTGCCACCTGGCGGCCCTTTAGAAGGGTTTTAATGCGTTGAGGTGAGTTTCCCGATCATATGACCACTGTGATTGGTCAGCCAGTGAAATCTTGATCGTGATGGGAGCTCACAATGAGCACAGAATGGCACAGTCAGCACAGGATGGCAGTTCCCAATGGAATTGTGTGGCAGCTGGGTATTAAGGAACAGGTTAATGGTAATGGAATGTGATGTCACTATTACAGCCTCCACATCAAAGACTTGGGAATCTACAATATAGTAATTTAGGCTTAGAAACACATTAAGCCTATTGTTTAATTCAAACCAAAAAAGATACAATTATGCTCAGCCTCCGAGAGACCTTCAGTACTGTTACAGAACATGCTATAGTGTGAAAAGTATTCTTGTTTCATTGACAAATGTTGGTCAAGTTGAATGGTGCCCCAAAACAGCTACTCACCTCTGCCGTGTCACCAGGTTAATGTAATGCCGCAGGGCTGTCAAATATTTGGTCATTTCTTCTGGTGAAGCATCTTCTCCGGGGTTTTCTGGTTTGGGTGGATATCCCTCTACTATCGTTCCTAGACATATTAAGACGCAGATTGTGACAGCTACCATCATTGGCCAGAGCTTCAAGGAGGTCACCATCTGAAGGACAATAAAAAAGATTAAGTCTTCAGTGGGTTTGGGAGTGTCCACAGACCTTGAACTAAAAGATGACACAATATGTGGATTTCTTGTGAAGTATGAGGTGACACCTGAATAAGTCATAGAAAACATTAACTGGATAAGCACATTGAGAAGACATTAATGACATTGCCCCCCCCCCCCCCTTTAAACTGGATAGCTGATCCAAAACACTACAAATAAATGTCATAGGAGTCCAAAATCTTTTATTTTTTCCTGTAACAACAAAAATGCATAAGGCAGCCAACATTTTTCGAGGGCTCCATTATTTTGATGCTGATACAGGTGCAACTACTCACTAACTGTTCTGAACATCTCCTGCCATAGATTTGTTTGCCAGGAGCTCTTTGAGTCAACTAAATAATTTATTATATTTTTTAAGTCCTGATAAAAGGAGGATTTTTGGCCTCAAAACGTGTTGATGCTTTAATATTTTCTCATTGTAAATGTCTGCATTTGCTTGGTGCTCTTTGTGGCTTAAAAACATTTGGAATATCTTGATTTGGTTAACCATACTTTTGGAGGGGGGGAACCTCATTTTCTAGAGAGCTGCCAAACTCAAGCTCTCGAGCTCAAACGGGTCCAGTACCTTGATTCTACTTTCCCTTGGACCCCTATATTGGATATTGGAGTCTCTCTTTTCTTTCTAGCCACTCATCCAGTGATTATAATAGTCTTTGCTTAATCATGAAGTATGTAAATATACAAACCAGCTTACATTTTTTGCTAATTTCCAGGTAGGTAGAAGGGGGTTACAGACAGCATAGTGATAATAATACAGGAGTAAACTTTAATTAAACTAGTAAATTAAAATGCCCCTGCACAAGGGACGGACTGACAACTCATGGGGCCCCCGGGCAATAGGGGATCATGGGGCCCCTGTGTCCTTGCCCAAACTCAAATAAGCCTATGAAAAATGTACCAGGGGCATCTCATGGGGCCCCCTACTGACCCCGGGCCCTTAGGCAGTGCCCGAGTTTCCAAATGGTCAGTCCGCCCCTGCCCTGCACACAAAGTAACATTTTAGTTTTTGGTGGATGTTGCTACCTTTCTTGTATCTCTCTCGGAAATATAGTGGCTAACTACTACACTTGAAATTCTGAATTTACAAAGAGTTGCTGGATCGTGCAAAAAAGAACTGCAAAGTGGATAGGGACAGAGTCAGGAATTATTGCAGGAAGATCATCTCATAGTTAAGAGTATCCAGGACATGTGTATGTGTACACACAATATATATATTATGGAAGTAGATTTGTAAAAAAAAAAAAAAAAAAAAAAATGTACAATGGGAGGCTTAGAAATATTTGCAACAGCAGGTTTTTTGGGGACCACTTCTCACTCTCTTTTTTTTTTTTTTGTTTTTTCTACTTTGAGCTTGGGTGGTTGGTCATCACTACAGGTATTCTGTATGCAGCTGGGAACCCCATTTTTGGTGTAAAAATGCTGCAGGATACCCTTTTTTACTGTCAGGTTGCAGCAAGGAACCATTTTGCTACTGTGAGGATGCATGGGGAGCCTCATCAATATCAGGATGCCATGGGGTAACCTATTCTACTGTCAGGATATGAGGGATACCCAGGCCCTGATGTCAGGATTCCAAGGGGTACTTTCGTTCAACAGTCAGGTAACAAGGGGTATTCATGTTAGGCTGCCATGGGGTACACTATTTCTACTGTCTGGTTACAATTGGGGAACCTAGTCCCTACTTCCACTGTCCGTACTATCAGGATTCAAGGGAAAAAAACCTCATTCCTACTCTCAGGGTGCAAAGGGAACCCTGTCCCTACAGTGAGAACTTGATGAGGAACCCTGTCCCTACTGTTATACTCCAAAGTGCTTTGTAAAAGAGACAAGTGGTCATTTCTAAACACCTTTGAAGCAATGTATGTTTTTGTAAAAATCTATTAATGTATATATAGACCAAGTTGTTATTAGAATGTAAGGCTCAAATCCACACAATGCTGAGATTTTACTTTTGGGGGTCCTCCATTGTCTTGGATTATAGAGTATATCAGACATTCTCAACCAAGGTTCTGTGGAACCCTATAGTTCCTCCAGAGGTTGATAGATGTTCCTTGAGCTGTGGCTAATTGCCCTCCTATATGATGATGCCTGCAGAGTCCTGGGACCAATGATACTTGACAAAGCCAGCAGCATGACAACAATGATCTTTTTGGCTGTCTTTAAGGATGCCATTCACATGGCCACCACTGTAAGGGGAACATTCATCCAACTGGTCAACCAATGTAAGAAACATTTTGCCCACTGACCCCAGATCAGTTGGTTTCAGCAGGGGTTCCCCAAGACCTCAAAAATATTGTAGGCGTTCCTCTGGGGTAAAACGTTTGAGAAAAGGCTGCTGTATATCATTTGCTTGTGCAACTTGTGCTTCTGCAGTGGCCCTGAGGCCAGCAGTAAGATTTTCTGTTAATTTCAATGGAAGAGAATAACATAATCTCTTGCCTTTGTAATAATATCTGCACCCTTGGAGTAGAGCTGAGATCTCTTCTGGAAGATTTTACAAGTGTAGCAACTAAAGTAGCCAGCTTGTATTACGGTTCATTAGAATCTAAGCCCAAAGTCAGAATTATAACATTATTGTATATTAGGCAATTGGTATCATTGGAGGAGAGGGGAAAGTAATATTTGACTTTCTACAGCTAACAAGCAATCCCATTATAGTCAACCTCTTCTCATTCTGTGGCTTATAAGAAGACAAAAAGCTGCAGTTGTCTACAAAGCAAATCTTGAATGTCTATTCACACTTTTTTTTTCTCAAATCTCAAATCGTATGAATTTTGCTGCATGACAATGAATTTCAAATAGTGTCTGGTTCAGATCTGTGTGTTACAGTGTAGTGTGTTCTGAAAGGGAAACTGCATGGTCCCATTACCACCTACACATGTGCATTACCACACGCTGCAACATACATGGAACAGTGTAAATCTAGTCCAGGGGCAAAATCCGTCCAGGCCCTGAGGCTGACCATTTGGAAACTCGGGCACTGCCCGAGGGCCCGGGGTCGGTAGGGGGCCCATGAGTGCTGTGTTGTTTTGTTGAATTACTTGTATGCTTGGGTCATTGTTCCTGTGATCACATGGCGCGAAAAAAAAAAAAAAAAAAATGAAAAATCCGTCCAAAAAAAAAAACATGATCTCCCAAAAAAAAAAGCCAACAAAAAAAAAAAAAAAAAAAATCTGGTACCTTTTTCTTAGGCTTTTTTGAGTTTTGTCCTCCAATGTACTCCATTCTTGTTTCATATTTTCTTATTGTAGACGGCAAGGACACAGGGGCCTCATGATCCCCTATTGCCCGGGGGCCCCATAAGTTTTCAGTCTGCTGCCCTGATCCAGCCTCTAAATATTTTATATTTCAGTCTATTTTTTTTGATTTGGAGTAATTTGCAAAAGATTTGCAAACCTATAGCATTTGCATATCTCAGAAAAGCATCTCCAAAAGCAAGATTTAGCTTGGATACGAGCGTTTGCCATTTTGAAAGACTTGATGGGAAAATGGTTAAGTATAACACTGGCTACAAACAATATACAGAAAGGAATCCTCCAAATATTTTAGTGTATCCATATTATTCACTATATGGATTAAATGAGTATGTTGGACATCTAATTATGTCCTGTATAGAACTGTTAAATCTATTCCTGTTAATGGGTCAATCACTCTCCAGCCAATGTTTGAGCAATTGCTGGAGAGTTAGACAGCCCTGACAGTTCAATATATCTCCCGGGGACTGTATTGGTGAAGTCTCTATGCTGAGTTTCCAGGGTCTGCCCACCTTCTGTGGTTATTATAAGTGGCTTCCACCATCCCCACAAAATTATTATTAATTTTAAAAATTATTAATTTTTAAAATTTTTAATAAATAGTATTAATTAAAATTATTATTAAATATTAATTATAAGGAATACAGTATGGAATTATGGTAGATAGATGTTACTGTTGATCTCTCTGTGACAAATAAGAAGCCAAGGGCTGACTCAGCCCCCCACCAGACTCCAGTTATAACTAAATGCGCAATATGGCCAAACGTTTGTGGACAACTGATCATCACACCTATTATAAGGTCATTAATTATTATACAGTATGTAGATAGTTCCTCAGCGCTGTACATTACAAAGGGAGACAGAACATACAGAACAATACCAATACAATGCAAAACATGAGGGGATCAAGGGCCCTTCTTTCGAGCTTACAATCTATTATAAGTCAAAACCATGTAGATGTCCCTCCAAATTACTGAGTTCCATTGTTTCCAGTACTATTAATGCTATAGCATGCAAAGACATTTAGTTGATTGTGCACATTCAACCTTGTGGTAAGGTATTGCCCTTTTCTGTTCCAGCATGGGTGTGCCCCTGTATTTAATGGAGGAACCCTAGTGGTCGGTAAAAAGCCCTGAGATCAACCAGATCTAAAGGCAAGTATTCTAGTCTAAAATCAGTACCTGACCCAACAATTGCTTTTGGCTGAATGGCCACACACTAACTACAAAATCTAGAAGAAAGTCTTCTCAGAAGAGTAGAAGCTATTCTAGACGCAAGGAGAAAGGGAAAACTATATAAACTTTTTTTTTTGGAATGGGATGTCCAACAAACATATAGGTGTGATGGTCAGGTTTCTGCAAACTTTGTATGCATATAGTAAATAGAATAATGGATACACCATCATCAACTCAAGTTGTTATATGAGAAATAAGTATATAGCCTACCTACTTGAAGCTTTACCTATTTATAAGTGAGGAACAAACCTAAAATGCACCTGTGCCCAGAATATGGACATTAAAATTATTTACAGTTTCTTCACAAGCAGTAAAAGAGCTTTAAAACAAAAACCCTCCTGTGTTTAATGTAAAGTCATTCTCAAAGATCACAATGTTTTAAAATTAATTTCTTCACAATGCCTTCAGATACAGAGGTGAATGAAGGCTGAGCACAGGTTTACTTTAA